GAAAGCATTACTACTAAGTTTAGCAACCAACACGGCCTGAGGTGACCAGAAATGGGTAATTCCGATTACGCATTCCCCTCCAAAGGCGACTGTGCTCATCGCGTGGCGATACCACCGCCACAGCCATTTTATAAGTCACTCAAGAGATCCTTGAAAGAGACCTTTTTCCCAGACGACCCACTTCGCCAATTCAAGAACCAACCACCCTCTCGGAAGTTCATATTGGGTTTGCAGTACTTCCTACCCATTCTCGAATGGGCTCCCCGCTATACTTTCCAGTACTTCAAAGCCGACCTTATCGCCGGGATCACTATCGCCAGCCTTGCCATCCCTCAAGGGATAAGTTACGCCCAACTGGCCAACTTACCGCCCATCCTTGGTTTGTGTGAGTATTCGACGGTCGTCAGACTAAGACAAATCCACAAGGATTATTTGAGTGAAAATAGAGATACGAGTAACTGGATTCTTTTTTTTTTTTTTTTAATTCTTAAAAAGTTTTATCGTGGGCAATGCAGATTCGAGCTTTGTCCCGCCGCTGGTGTACGCCATGATGGGGAGTTCAAGAGATTTGGCGGTGGGGACTGTGGCTGTCGCATCACTCCTTACGGCTTCTATGTTGGGTAGCGAGGTGAATGCTAATGACAATCCAACTCTGTATCTTCACCTCGCTTTCACGGCAACATTCTTCGCCGGAGTTCTTCAAGCTACCTTGGGGATCCTAAGGTTGGTACAACGAAGCAACATATGCTAAAAGTTACAAGGAAAGATGGGTTCCTATGCTCAAATTAATCCAATTCAGTCTACATCTTGTTCTTTCAATTTTGGTCTGATACGGACTTAGAAAGTTTAAAAAGGGGAGATTAGCGTTGCGTGTTTGCGACCTCTCTGTCTGTCTCGTGTCATCTTGTGTGTTGGGATGCGGATTGTCAATTTTCCCGGGTTTGGGTTTGTCATTTCTCATTTTGCATGTTTAATCAGTGATACAGGGTAGAGAGACATAAGGTGACAGATATGATCGATAAGTGAGAGAAAGCGGATAGTTATTGTCCTTAATTTTGTCTTCAACGTTCGGAATACAACTTTAATTTGTTTGTGCAGGCTTGGGTTTATTGTGGACTTCCTGTCGCATGCAACAATAGTGGGTTTCATGGCCGGAGCAGCCACGGTTGTTTGTCTTCAACAGCTGAAAGGGATCCTTGGTTTGGAGCGTTTCACCCATGGAACTGATGTTGTTTCTGTGATGCGTTCTGTTTTCACCCAAACACACCAGGTTTCTTTTTGAAGCTCCTCCTATTTGAAAATCTCTTTCAATTCATAATTAATTATCAATTAGTTTTTATTCGTAACTACGGGTACGTATTATGGGTCTTGTTTTAGAGTCACCCAATAACCTTTACTGATTTGATACCGATAGTTTTGCATTTCTTCGAGAAGCTCACCCACCATTCTCAGTCAACTTGAGGCTTAATCTATCATGAAAGAGAATGTCGTGGTTTTTCTTTATTTATCTTCGAGAGAATTATTTAGAATTCAGTCTTGTGTTTCGAAAGACAAAATTATTCAGCAGAAAAATCAACAACCAGGTTTTCGGGTATGACTATGACATGAATTACCATCACCAACCGTGTTCCACCACAAAACCATCAATGATCCACCCACAATAAAATGAACAAGTGTATTTTGCAAATGGAAGAGCAAAGCTTTTGTCCTGTTTCGTTTTTAACTTTTCCGGTCACGAGTAATATGTAAAGAAAGGCATTAGGCTTCATTCGTTTTTTACTCTTTATTTCTGATGATCATTCATTGTTGTGTGGTGATTGATTGTTACAGTGGAGATGGGAAAGTGGTGTCTTGGGCTGTTGCTTCCTCTTCTTCCTCATCCTCACTAGATATATTGTGAGTAAATTCATGTACCCCCTTCATTAATTCTTCTGAAACGCTAGCTGTAGTTTACTCTGTTATAGTGAAACAGAACGAATTACTATAAATATTGCAGGCTACATGACCTTAAAGTAAATAAAATACAACTGTATTCCCAACCTCACTTGTCGTATATCCCATTTGTTGCTGCCAAAAAGTGACAACAACAGTGATAAGTTGACAATTAAATGGGTTTGTCTCCAAGCAACCAAAATGGGCTTTTTGAAGATTCTGAACTTCACTTGATCTACCGTTCTTCCCTCACTCAATTCTAGCTATTAGTTAACCCTTCCTTATCTCTGCTACAGTTCCAAACTTATCAGTGAGGTGAGCAATAGTAAGAAATATCCGTTCATCTTAATTTGTTTGGCTAAGTAGTACTAAATAAAAGGGATCAATTTCTTGCCCTCTACGTGAAAACCATGACCTCGGATTGATTAGGAAGTTTTACCAAGTAAATATGTCGGCTTTTCCTTTCCCAATAATAAAACTTCTTTTTTCCTTTTATTTAGTACTAGTTGGATCCATTTTAATTTCCCATTTCTCTTGGCAAAAGGAATATTAATTAAGTTCAAGTGTTCCATTTAGATTAATCAAATTAATGTGATGTTTTTGACAACAAACAGAGCAAGAGACGACCAAAGTTCTTCTGGATATCAGCCATGGCGCCGCTTACTTCTGTCATTCTGGGAAGCCTCCTCGTCTATCTCACCCATGCTGAAAATCACGGGGTCCAAGTGGTAAGGAATCCCAATTCCCATCCATCCCCACTCCCAACAGTAGTCAAAATCTTTTCTTACTATATGTCTGGCTCATCTCATGGGTTTAGCCAAATAATATTGATCAGTGGAAGTGCCAAGCAACAAGTGGGCCCACGTGATGACATGTATGGCCACTCATTTCTTGGCTACCGGCCAAATTTTTATGGGTTTTGAGGTTACTACTTAGTAGCCGGGTAGGACCCAAATACAAAATCAAAAATCAAAAACGGGTTGGTGTAGATGGGCTTGCTGCCTAGGACAAATGCCAAGGACAAAATAGAATTACGGATGGTGGTGATTGGAGGATAATAGTGATCAGATTGTATTGTTTTCTACTGTTCTACTGTAACGTAAAGGCGATTGATACGCTGTATGTTTTTTGTCATGTCTGAAACAGATAGGACACTTGAAGAAAGGGCTGAACCCACCGTCTTTGACCGATCTGGCTTTTGGGTCGCAGTATGTGACGTTGGCCATGAAAACCGGAATCGTCACGGGTGTCATCGCTCTCGCCGTAAGTACTCCGTCCGTCGCCTCCTGAGTCCTGACCCCCTCACTCCTCAAATTATGACAAATTATTCCCCTCAGGTTCAGCCGTTCAGGTTCACTTCAACGAGAGAAACCAGAAGCTTGACTTTTCTTGACCACACATGACAGCAGACACCACCACGAATCTTTAGTACATACTTTACTAATTTCAGAATCGTCCGGTCCAGCCTGCCCACGTTTGTAGTGGGTCCCGCGGCTTAGCAGCTGCACGTGACCAAGATTCAGATGTTTGAACTTAAAAGCCGTTTAGTCACGTGATTAGTTTTAAGATTTTAAAATAAATATATATAATAACAATATAGGAAGATTGTCTGTGAGACTGTGACCCTGACTGGCTGACTCTGCCTCGCTTTGCACTGCCTCACATTCACATGGATAACATGTTTTCCACGTACGAGTCTGGTCTGGTACAAATAATTATGGAGTTTTAGTACATGAATGTTTTTTATTTTCATTTTCATTTGCTAAAAAAATCATATTAGCAAATTCTAATTTATTTTAAATAATAATATATGGTTTTAAAACCATCAAAATAATGTTTTTTTTTTAGAAAAAAAAAAACAAATTTTGTAGTCTAAGAATTATATAATTTATAGAACATGAAATCATAGCCTAGTCTGGTTTTGGACTGGGCTATTCAAATTTGCACCCCCTAGTAGATCGCTTTCTAAATTAATTTGTTGGTGAATAAAACTAAAATTTGTGGTGGTGGTGAATGAAAAACAGGAAGGAATCGCTGTGGGGAGAAGCTTCGCTATGTTCAAGAACTATCATATTGACGGGAACAAAGAGATGATTGCTTTTGGCATGATGAACATCGCTGGTTCTTGCACTTCTTGCTACTTGACTACAGGTTTTTCTCTATTTCCAGTTTGCTTGTGAATTTCCCCCCTGTCACTTCATCCCCCCAGCTTGGCTCGAATTGGACCTGGTTGATGTAAATCCCCTATCATGCTAAATTTTCAACCCTGACCCAATCAGTTAATGGATTTGGATGGGTTTCAGGTTGGAACCTTAGCCACATATTCACAAACAAGTCCCTAAATGCCCACAACCACTGAACCGAACCATACACACTTTTTATGCGGAGATGGTACATGGGTAATTGCCTTGGCCCAGCCCATATCTATAGACCTGAAATATAGGCCCAGCCTCAACAATTATACATAATTAAATTAGGTTATCCTCTCTCGGTCTCTCCTATCCCTCGCCAACTCGATTGCTTATTTTCCAAGAATTCCAATCAACAACCATAATAAATCAGATCAGATTTGGATTGTGGAGTCACTTTTTCAGAAAGTGCACATGGTGAACCAAGTCCTTTCATCCCCTATTAACTAACACTCTTAATTTTTGCTCTTCAGGGATTTAAGTTTTATTTGTTTTTGTAATGCTTGGGGTTAAACTATTTCTAGCTTCTCCTATTTTTATAAAAAAAAATAATAATAATAACAAACCAGATTTTAGATTTTAAATTTGGCTAGCATTTCCCAACCTTAACCCTGACCTCTTTTTCAACCCAACCCTATCTTCCTTCGGCTATGTTGGGTACTTGGGTTCAGTTTGGCCAAATCCAAGCTGCAGACCCTGTCGAGAAGGGTATCATAGTAGCCTAAGGCATGAAAAAGCTGAAAAGAAAAAGCATTTCTGGTTTGTTTTGGGATTTACTAACATTGTTGGAGCGTAATTGGAACTTTTCAGGGCCGTTTTCGCGATCGGCAGTTAACTTCAACGCAGGATGCAAGACAGCAGTTTCCAACATTGTGATGGCCACTGCAGTGATGATAACACTGTTGTTCTTAACGCCATTGTTCCATTACACACCTCTTGTGGTGCTCTCCTCCATTATTATTGCTGCAATGCTTGGCTTAATCGACTATGAAGCTGCCCTCCATCTCTGGAAGGTCGACAAGTTCGACTTCGTTGTGTGCATAAGTGCATACATCGGTGTGGTTTTTGGCAGTGTTGAGATCGGCTTAGTCATTGCGGTATGTTATACTAACGGGACTAACACTCAGTCAGTCAGTCATCCAGGGTATCCCTGATTCTGCCTCTCTTGCTCTCTTTCAGTCTCACAACTGGGCCTGGGGCAATTATTGGGCCAGGCTGGATTAAGTGGGCTATCCAATTAGCCCATTAAGTGTCCAGGCTTGATTTAGCATCGGCCTAGAGTGGTCACTGGTCAGGACTCAGGAGTTCATACTTGAGCTACTTGCTTGTATTGTAAATGACGTGTATAATATGTTTATGTGAACGCAGGTCGCACTCTCAGTGCTTAGAGTACTTTTGTTCGTAGCAAGACCAAGGACCACTGTTCTGGGCAATATCCCAAACTCCATGGTTTATCGAAGTGTTGAGCACTACCCAGTTGTAGATAGTGTTCCAGGAGTCCTCATACTTAGAATTGATGCCCCCATCTACTTTGCCAATGCAAGCTACTTGAGAGAAAGGTAATACTCAAAACCATTACAAACAGAGATAAAGCGTATAATAGAACTTGCACAAATTAAATAATATGAAATTTCACCAGTCACCACTAGTAGACAGACTACTCACAGTATTCACGATTCTGGGCTTGCTTAGGATCTCGAGATGGATAGATGAGGAGGAAGACAAGCTAAAATCATCAGGAGAAGCCAGCTTACAGTATATTATACTTGATATGGGCTGTAAGTTTGTGGTGTTTTGATCATTGTTTTGGGTAGATGGTTTGGCCTTTTCTGACAAAAAAAAAATAAAAAAAATATTTAAAAATAAGAAAATGGTCAAAAACCATTGAATATTTAACGGTTTTTTACCAGGGACCGGATTTGGGGTTAAACAGAACCGGTCATCTGAACGGTTCCCGGGCCAAATGGTTCGACCGTCCGGATTCAAAAACCATGGTTTTGATACCATAAAATTATGTCATATAAGCAGGATTCATCTCACACTCAATTTTTTTTTTTGGATTCACAGCCGTAGCTAACATCGATACAAGCGGGATCGGCATGCTTGAAGAAGTCAAAAAGATCATTGACAGAAGAGGGCTCAAGGTACAGTCTCTTAGTTTTGTTTCCACTTTCCAATTCCCGACGCCCAACCTCTCTTCTTACATTGTGGACTTACTATTCTGTGTGTGCAAATTAACTAATGTTGTAATTTTGTGGATGGAGCAGCTGGTTCTAGCAAACCCTGGAAGTGAAGTAATGAAGAAGCTAGACAAGTCCAAGTTCCTCGATGAAATTGGCCAGGAATGGGTCTATCTAACGGTTGCAGAGGCAGTGGGAGCATGCAACTTCATGCTTCACTCATGCAAGCCAGCCCCTGCAACTGACAACAATGTGTGAAGACGAAGCAAATTGCCTAGATTTATTCGGGGTTCACGGCAATACGTGCGTGGCAATGCCTATGGCATCTAAATCAATGAGGATTGAGGATTAACACATCCAGCCAGAGGAAGGGAAATTGATTTAAAACAAAGCCACCTTATTCTGTAGAACTCGATCGGGAGGCTTTCTTCTACGAATCTTTTGTAATGTGTAGGAAATCTTATACATACTTGTAATTTAGTTTAAGTTTTTTTTTTTGAATTTTGAGAGTGGTGGTTATCACTTGTCAGGGGCCTCGGTGGCTGGTGACTGCCCTCCTCAATCCTCATGTGATGTATGTAATGAGAATCAGCTTTAAGCAGAATTTCTTTCGGGCATTATTCAGAGGATTGTCTTCGGTTTGGGGGCATAAATTACCATGGCTAAATGCTTTTGAGAGTTTTAGACCAGGAGAAGGCAAACAGTTTAGAACATTTCCACTAATTCTTAAGCCCATAATTAATTAATTAATTATATTTCTCGTCCAAATGTGAAATGCTCAGAAAAAACTCAGCTTGCCAACTTTGTTTGAATTTTTGTTCCTCGAAGAAGAATGATCCTATGGTCCTTTCTGGTTAGCGCACAAATCAGTACAAAATCTTATGTTTACATATCTGCATTTGCACTCTGAGCTTGACTGAAAAAGGGTTGGTGTTTGTGTGATATACATAAAGTCGGCTGAGTGCCCCTCTAATTCTCAAAGGTTAATCACGTCTTTGAACAAGTCCTGCGCTCTAAGGCTTTGTTAGATATAACCCTTTTTTCTCTAAGTAGTGTTTGGTGGATAAACCTTTCTCTCTGCGAGTTGTTTTAATATATATAATGCTCAATACTTCCCTTAATTGGTTTCACATCATGTAACATGATGACCATCCAATAAATAATTCTAGTCCTAGTCCATTTATCTCCTTCCTACCAAGCTAATAATCAGAGATTAATTATTGGTTTACACTCCATAAGCTTGATAATAATAGAAATAACTAGTTAACCGTTTAGGCATAGGCTGGAACCAAGTATTTACCAAACTAATAATCAAGGTTATTGGTTTGCACTCGATAAGCCTGATTAATAATAGAAATAATGACCTTCAAAAAAATAATAGAAATAATGGGTTATTTGTCTAGTTATTAACCGTTTAAGCCCTAGCTAAATTGGGTGACAAAATTATACACATCGGGCTGACCTACATATGCCAGTGTTTAATACAGATGGGTCCAACCGAATGTATGGAGTTGTCCACTTTCTAATATTTAATTCAATCTAATTTGGCTGGGTGGATCTGGATTGGACTATAGGTGAAACTTGGGTCGAGAATTTGTTAAATTTTTAAAAAGCCCAAACCCTGATGCATCCAATGTACTTGAAATTATTTAAATCGTAGCCATAATGTAAATTTTGGAAAGCTTTAGACAGAAATCTTTGAAGCTGTGATAAGCAATGGATTAGTCTGATGTCTAAAAGATAAATGCAATTTATAATAGAGAGAAATCATCTGCGCTATACCATATAGTAATTTATAATAGAGAGAAATCTTCGTTTTACTTCATCCCACAAATTTTTATTTGTTTCCTAATTAGGGGGCATTTTTTTTTTTTTAGGATTTTGAGAGGGAGAAATTTGGTCAATGGAATTTTGGTTCTCATTGATCAAGAATCTCATGTTCTTTTTTTCAGATTTATGTGGAGATCAGTGAAAGTTTATTTTCTTCCTAGGTGGGTAAATAACTTTCCCACTTAGGGGGAAAGTCGCCAACACTTGAATGGGATAAAAATGCCCCTTTTAATAATAGGTTTTTATGGCTAAAATGGTCATTGCCTTATTTACATGAAAAATAAAAGAGCATGGATAAATGCACTTACCCATTTTAAAACCTTATTTTTCCCTTCATCCCTCTTCTGTAAACTGGGTACCTATTACCGGGATACCGGTCTTCATGGCACCTGAAGTTGCTCGTGGGGATGAATAGGGAATCCCTCATGGACGGAAGCCCCGAGCTCTTGGGTGTATGGTGATTGAGATGCCACTAGACATCCCTCATGGACGGAAGCCTCGATCTCTGCCCTTTACCAGGAAGGGCTGGTGGCATCGGTGGTATCATGCGTGCCGCCTATATAAGGGAATCTCCGTTTGTACTAGCCCATTCCCTTACGTGAAGACGATTCCCCTGTGTCACTGAACTCTATAGGGGATTTGGAGAGAAACCACTGTTTGTATCGCCTCTACAAGGGAATCACTGCCTCTTGGAAAGCTGCGTTCCTCTGCCCGTGGTTCTTTAAGGAGTGGCAGCAAAACTCTTGATTGATCAACACGAGCGAACTATGCTTAGACGCTTCGTAAAGCTACACCGCATCTACAAGAGGAGCTGATGGATGAGTAGGCTTCCCCTTTCAATTCACGGAATGTGATCTAGGACATGATGGGAGTTTGAGTGCCTCGCTAGGAAAGAGATCGCCAAAGTATAGCACAAGATCACCTTTCCTTCCATACAGCCCAAGGGGTTTCATTGCTGTCATTTCATCCCTTTGCTTTCTCCACCATCAACTCGACGGTGATCATTGCTGCCAATGTTTTCAAAGTATTTTCAGGTGCAAAAACGTTGAGAATGTAAGTATTGAGATCGCCTATAGAACCACCAAGTTCAGACCAAATTGTGATCTTGAGGCCGAAGATGGTGGCACAGGTTTGGGGAAGTTGGTGGCGCCACCGCCGGGGAAGGACGGGAAAAGTTGTCTAACCTGGGGGTTTGGGCACATGAGGGGGCTTCCGGTTCAATGGAGATCAATAGGGGAGTCTGAGTAGTTTGCAAGTCTGAGTGAGTTGCCAATATTTTGAGGAAAGATGGACAGGATTTAATAGAAGGGTAAAACTACATTTCCGTTTCCAAGTCTTAACCCCATACCAACCCGACCAAACCCATAACATTTCAATTGCATGTTTTAAACATGTTTTGAAGACATAAAATCCATTAATTTAAGTTAGGAAATTGTTTTATAGATTTTAAGGTGCCACTTTTCCCATTAAAAAAAAGAAGAAAACCAAAATCAATACGTAAATAAATCTTAAACTTTAATGTTACAGAGTTAGAAGTCGAAAAATTAAAAGAATACTTTGAATATATGCAAGGTATCATGACCCATCGGGACAAGTTAGCCAAAACCCGAACCTAACTCGAGTCAAAGAATCAAAACCCTAGCCCGAATATACTTGACCCAAGTCGGGTTAACCATTTAACCCGATCCATTGACATCCCTAATTTTGACCTTACACCAACCCAACCCCAGCCCCAATGGCTAGACCAGGTTAGGTTGTGTTGGGTACAAAGCAGGAAAAGCCAAGTGAGGAGTCTGGATCTCCTAGACTCAATAATTTGTACTTAGGCCATGTTTGGGAGTACTTAAAAATAAGTGCTTATTTGGGTCATTAAGCACTTATTAGTGTTTGAGAAATAAGCCCAAAATAAGTACTTATTTTAAAAATAAGGGCTTATCTTTTAAGCCCAAATTTCTAGCTTTTTTAAGAGCTTATACAATAAGAATTTATTCAATTTTTTTCTTTGAAAATGATCCCTAGTTGAATTTTAAAATACCACTTATAAAATTATTCCTAGTTGAATTTTATAAAAGTACTTTCATAGTGCTTTTGTAAAACTACTTTCATAAAAGTACTTTCATAAAAGTGCTTTTATTAAAGTGTTTCTATAAAAGTACATTTGTAAAAGCGCTTTCGTAAAAGTATTTTTTTATAAAAGTGCTTAAAAGTACTTTTGTAAAAGTTCTTTCACTAAAGTGATTTCGTAAAAGTGCTTTCATAAAGGTGCTTTTACAAAAGTGCTTTCATAAAAGTACTTTTGTAAAGTGTTATTATAAAAGTACTTTTATAAAAGCGCTTTCGTAAAATTTGAAAGAAAATGGAGGACAAAATAGTCACAAATGCTTATTTAAGTGATTATTGGAGAAAAAGACAACCAAACACCCAATATGAAATAAGTGTTTTTTTTTTAATAACCACTTGAAAAAGTTGGGTGCCAAGTGCAAATAAGTGTTTATTCGAATAAGCACATATTTTTAACATAAATACTCCCAAACATGGCCTAAGTTGTACATTAGCCAATGAGAATTCATCAAAATTCATGGAGTGGTTATGACCAATTTATACCAGGGTTGAAATCAAACCAAGCTCTAGTCAAATAGTTGCGTTCGAGTTTGATTAGGCTTGATTCAAGTTTTATTCTAATCGAGCTTGAATTGAGTTTGAATCTCGAGGTAAGCTTGCTTGGTTATTCAAACTTAAGATCGACCAATAAAAAGTTCAACTCAAAAGCTAGTGAGTTGACTCAATTTACACTTGCATACATACATACATGTATTATAAAATATAAAAATATATTTTTATATTATATATGTAATATAAGAATATACGTGTTGGTGTATAAAAAAAAAGAGAAAAAATAATAACAATAAACAGATGAAAGAGGAGAGCTCAGGGAAAGCCAAACAACAAGGATTGGATGGGTTATGTCTCAACCCGACGGATGTGAAATTAAGTAGGGCATGTTGGGCCTAATGGGATGGAAGGTTTAGTGGGACCCCATGTATGGGCCCTCTAACATATTGGCCCAAGGTGTTGGAGCACAATATGAAAAAACAAAAAGAGGGGGGAAGAAATGCTAGTTGGATCTTGACCAACCTAGTTGCCAAGTGGCCTCTTCATAAATGATTTTCCAATCAGTTTAGCATGGCCCCTTAATTAAGGGTGGATCAATTCACTTGCCATTTCAGTCTAGAGAAGACCATTTAAATTGAATATTGTTGGATCTCAATAGTATCCAAATTAATGTAATTTCAAAAGGAATGTTACAACTAGTCAATTGGATTTTCTTTTATGTGTAGGCCCAACCATGTGCCAAGTGGCACTTGGTTCCAAGTACACTTAGGGATTGAAATTAACTTCAATTAAAGGGCCTATTTATCTTAACCAGGTCAACAATATGGTCACCGCATTATCAATTTGTGGGTCCCATGTCAATCAGCATTAAATGGTGATTAATTGAATAGCAACTATGATGGGAGGGTTCGAATCAATTCAAATCTTTGAACCAGCTCATCGTCTAATGGTGAACCTCTATAAATAGAGGAAAAAACAAGAGGGAAGGGCTCCCTTTTTCGGCTCTTCCTCATTCGGCTTTCAGCTCCTCACTAGAAACATTTCTTGCAAGAAGAAGAAGAGGGCTTCATCGGGCGAGCTATTCCCATTCTAAGTTGTTGTAGCTTTCATCTTGAAATTGGTACAATCAAGATGCCTACAATTAAATTGCTGCAATTATCAACTCAATAATTCAAGTCATCAAGTTGTTGCTACAATAAAGCTTTCATCAAATCACCACAATTGAAGGATCTTCTATAGGT